TTATTATATATACAGTGGGTGATCAGTTAATGAACAGTTCAGATAACGAACACTTTACTGAACAAACATAAAAAGAAGCGATGGAAAATAACGAATACCGATTGATTTTCCCTTGTCTTCGGGTAACGGGTAACAATTCAAAACCTTTCAGAGCACAGGAAACATCAACATCAATGCTCAACCCATTATTGATTAGATAGTATTCCTCTAAATTTTGAAACTCTCTCCTTTGTAATTTTGTTTACCTTTCTGACAAATAATTTTTTATAGACTTCATTAGACTGTCGGACGGGCACTTGTTAAATTTTGCATTGGTGTTTATTTACAAGAGGTGAAAGTTTAACTGTGCCATTGGATATCCATTAATGTTTTAACACCAAATTTCGAATTTCATCCGGGTCTTGCATTTAAATAATTTTTTGTGGGCCAGTTGATTTCTGTTCTCTGAATTTTTGTAAGTGCTTTTCTGAACTTTTTATTTAAAAAAGAAACTGATACTATTATGGAGCTAAAACAAGGAGTGTCAAGAACTGTTCTCACCATAGAAACCAAGTAACAGATAATAGCCAAGGTAGAAAGTGGGCACAAAATGTCTGATGTTGCTAGGCAGTATGGCTTGAACAGGTCTACAGTAAGCACAGTCTGAGCTATGAAAGATATATCAAGAAGTCTCAAGCTACTAATGGAGTAATGAAAATCACATCTGAGAAATAAAGAGCATTTTAGAGCTCATAATGGAACATGAAACTGATCTGATGACAGAAGAACTCCAAGAATTCTCAAATGAAGAATACCAAGAAACTTAGTGAGATGTATTTTCTTTTGAAAAAGGAGAAGACGAAAGAGGACCGATGTCAACCTCTGCTACTAAAAATCATTTGAAGAAGTGGGAGGATGTCAAAACAATGATCATCCAAGTGGCATCCAAACCAGAATAAGGTTAATGGGGTTGGAGATCTATACAATTACAATACTATTAATTACTTCCGAAAAATCCTGAAGAAAAGAGAAAAGCAATGGACATTGGACAGATTCTTTAACCCCCACAAATGGAAAAAATATGACTAATAAAAATGCAAGACTGTATATATATGTATTTTTACTATTACATATAAATAAACATAGTAAAAAAGTATATATTCTTTATTTTTTGGAGTCTCCGGAACAAATTAATTAAATTCCCATAAAAACCTATGGTAAATCGATAATCAGTTTATGATTATCGATTTACCATAATCAATAATTGGTTAAGGAACAATTTGGATAACGAACAAAGTTTTGGAACGGATTATGTTCGTTAACCGATCATCCACTGTATATACATATAAACCATGCTGTGGTAAGACGTGAGTTGATTGAGTACCGTTAAAGGTTGTGGACACTCTGTCATTCCAGTTAGCACCTTGTGTAAACTGTATGGTTATATCTAAATTAACTGTGATATATAAAGACAGTAAACATACTTTATATACTATGATATGCTTCTTGTCTAGTCTTTGTATATACTTGTGACTTAAGGTTTGGAATGCATTCTTTTAGAAAAATTAAAGTGATTTTCTAAGGCTAGTTTTGTGTCCAGTGATGGTGTAATAAGTCTAGCAATAAAGAAAGACAAGTAAATTTACAGCAACTAAATTTAATATAAAAAAATTAATCAGTTTTTTAACCCCATTTCACAATGTTGCTATTTCAACTATTAAAGACAATCATTAAATCATAGAAAATGATAAATTGATAGAATCAAACAATATGAATGTAGTTTGTTAAGCTTTCTAAAATACAGTAGAGCATCGATTATCCGACTCAATTGGGGACTGGGGTTGGTCGGATAACTGAAAAAACAGATAACCGAAAAGTATGAAAAAATACATTATTAGTATATCCCATGTAATTAGTATATCAGTATATTGCTATTAACCTACTTCACGTTGAATTTTTGTTGATGTTAAGCCTAACAAAAAAATCTTTTTAAATAATAATCGTTGCTATTGTATCGTTAAAAATTATTTCTTTATTTTGCAAAAAATAAATACAGTACTGTACTGTACATTGAAAAATATAAAACAAAAAAATATACAGTATTCAGTTACATATTTTACATAAAGTAGGTCTATACATTAGAAAAAGAAGTCCAAAATTTTCTTTTGCTTTACAGTTGACACTTGTTTTTTGCCGCTAAATCTTGCACACATTTTAAAAACAGCAATTGGATAGCGTAACATTCTTCTTGCTGTTCTAACCATTTCATAGCTGTCTCAAGGCTTTGAAAAGCTTCACCACTTTTCAACTGATCTATTATTTTAAGTTTATCGGAAAGACTGAGAACAACGCACTTACATTTAATTCCCATTGTGAACAGTACAACAACTATAGCACAATCTGTTACAAGTGTGAAATTCACAGATCCAAAATTTATATCTCCGATGAAAACGAATTCCAATTCAGCACGACACACATTCCTCAGAAAAATCCACACATAACAAATGGCCACTCATAATTAGAAAATGAAGCCTTGTTTAAATATGGCCTCCCTTTCATGGTTGATCCAGTGTTGCCAGCAAAAACACGCAAAAATTTAACAAAAATAATATTAAAGTAGCCAAGACACAGCCAAATATTGTAGCGCCACATCACTAGAAGACATTTGAATTGCCAAATAGAATGCAGTCAGTTAATTGAGTGTGACAGTTGATTGGGGGTCGGATAATTGATGCTTTACTGTAATTATATATTTTTGCTAATTATGTATTTTATATTTTCCATGTAGAAATTATTCACACAGATACATCTAGTCATTGTAATTTTTAGTGATAGATTAAAAATAGAAAGTATGATTATAATGAAAAACAAATAAATAAGATTTTACTGAATTACTATTACTAAATAATGAAATGCAATAAAATATTTTGAAAAATACTAAACTAGTAATTGAAAAATTAATCTCATTTTTGAATTTTAATTAATGAATAATATGATGATGATAAACAGAAAATACAGCTTAGTTACACTTTTCACAAGTAAGCACAGTCATCGCTTATTAATTTTCAGATAATCAGAGGATGATTTGTATAATAATTAATTATTATTGGCTATTATTAAATGAAACTCCTTCATCAGACAGAGATTTATTTGCACTTTAATCATTTGTGCTAATTTTTTATTTATAACTCAATATTTTTAGTCAGCTGACTGTTTCTTTACTTATAAACTGATTCTGATTAAAATTATAAATCCTTTAATTATTATATTTAAATATATTAATGAAATAAACTGATGCAATGCTTTAATTGATATTCATAGTTTGTATATTTATTTAATTCAATCATTATCCTTTTAGATTGGACCTCAACAATATGTTATATATACACTAGGAAATGATTGTTGATTAAATGTTATTGTGTAATTTATATATAATTTATTAGGAATAAAAAAACAAGTTGGGCATGATTTTTATTTTTTATTTAAATATATCAATTTTAGTTAAAACATGTTTTACAAATGATTATTTGATTATGACTTGATATTAGTGCCATATTTTAATAATAAAAATTATTATACAGTCGACCCCCCCCTATAAGATCATAGATACGTTCCATTTTTTAGGAATCCGATTTCTTACGAGTCGTTCCAATCACAGCCCGACACATGTGAAGTTTACGGACTATGGCTGATTGAAAGGTTTTCTTCCATAAAATTAATCGATTCTAGACTAATCCGACTCAACATTTCCAAAATACGTATATTTTTTTTGGAAATAATCCGTATAAACTACGCTATAAACAAAAAATTGTAGGATTACTTACCGAGTGTGCACCATTCGACATCCCATTGCTCAACATTGT